TATACACACATATATATACACATATATATATACATACATATACATACACACATATATATACACATATATATACATACATATACATACACATATATATACACATATATATACATACATATACATACACATATATATACACACATATATATACACACATATATATATACACATATATATATACATACATATACATACACATATATATACACATATATATACATACATATACATACACATATATATACACACATATATATATATATACATATATATACATATATATATATATATATATATACATATATATACATATATATATACATATATATACATATATATATATACATATACATATTCCTTCCTCCTCCTCTCACACCTCTCCTCCTCCTCTTCTTCTTCTTCTTCTTCTTCTTCCTCCTCCCTCTGTCCATTTGCATGTCCCCAGTGACAAACACACTGGGGATTAAAGGGGTTTCTAGAGACATACCCCACACTAGAAATCAATAAAGTCACACCCTGCCTGACGATGTGAGGAGCTGACGTGGTCTAAGGTGGTCTGACGTGGTCTAAGGTGGTCTATATATTATAATAACCTGTCTGACGATGTGAGGAGCTGCAGCTCTATCAACACTTTAAAACCAACTTAAAAAGTCTGTTAAAAGCGTCTCAGCTCTGTACTCACTGAGCTTGACTCTTGTGGTCTTTATAACTTATATCTGACAAACATACATTTGTGATGTGCTGTATCTTTGTATTGTGTGTTCTTGTTTGTATATCTTTGTATTATGTCTCTACCTTTGTACCGTTTGCTATTGTGCTTTCCTTGTTTTGACCTGCAACGGGACTACAGATGCGAATTATCTTTAAAGCTATAATCTGGCACGGTGCATGAAATGGTGACATTTATCTTTTAAACTGTAAACGGTCCCTTTTAAATTAAATAAATAAATACGGCAGTGGTTTCGCTCGAGGCACGTAATTCAAGTCAGCAAAGTCACGTCCAGTGTTCGTACGCAGCACAAAAACAAGCACCGTGAACCTAAAACACGACAAAATAAACAGCGTAAATCAAAGGGACTCACCCGGGAGAGAACGAGTCGCTCGAGCGTCGTCGGTTGGTCCCGACAGCCTCGCGAGGTGCACGGTGAGTGAGAGCAAACTACAAAGTGAAAACACACGGTCGCTTCTGTCGTCGCTCCCGCCGCCTCCCTCCCTCTCGCTCTGTCCCATTTGCATGTCAACAGACCCGCTGACTGACTCCGTCATACGGAGAAATGAGAGGCAGAAGACGCGGTTCAGCTTCGGTTCAACTTTCTCCTCAAATTAAATGAATTCCGGTCAAAAAACGCCCCCTTCCTCTCCTGACCCTCGACTTCAGAGCCGCAAATAAGCTTGTATTTTTAGCCGAATAAGTTAATAATGGAGAAAAAATTGACTATTTTGGCAAATACATGTAAATAATAAAACAACTCAGATGATGCTTTAAGATATATTCCAGTGACTTAAAAGTAGCATTTAGGGTTTCTGTTGACATAAATGTAATATAATATGAATAAGTATGTTCCGCCATTTTTATTTCTACAGTAGCCCAGAACGGACAAATGGTACACAGGCCTCTAGGTGGGGCCATTCGCGTTTTCGCGTTAACTCGTCGGCCACCATAGTTTTCCTACATGCTTCGCACCAGGCGGATACGAAAAATCCAAAAAACGTCATGGGGTCGAGGAAAGATGTGAAGGAGAGTTCATGAGGAGTTAGGAAAAGACAGCCGTGGTGTTTAGAGAATCTGACTACACTTTTAATAATCTATCAGAGTTTATTTAGTTTTTACTGATGATTCTTGTTATTGACAGTTTGCTATATTTACTGTTCATTTAACGTTCGAAGTAAATAAATGCATATACAAATGAAACGAAAGGATTGTCACTGTCTATTCATATCAACATGAATCCCTTTACTTTATGACTGTATGAGTATAATTGTTAAACCTGTATAAGATATGAATGGTTCATCACCGCGGCAAGGAATTGTGGGGCAGAATTATCTTCTTTCCTTTCGTAAAGGAAGGTCCAGTGTTTTCTATGCGAAAGGAGGCAAGGAGCTAATAAAGGAAGCATTGACGCACCTTTCCTTAGCATTTAGAGAATTCAAGCTCTTATCATGGCGGCCACTGAGATACTTCCGGGTCATTTCACTCAGCTAAGAACCTTCCCAAGCAAAAAGGACTATTCCACCGCAACCTCCGGTTCTGCTGAGTGAAGCCGATGCGGAAGTGCCTTACAACTTGCATTCTCTCTAATGACCATCAGGGGGCGACTCCTCTGGTTGTATAGAAGTCTATGAGAAAATGACTCTACTTCTCTCTTGATTTATTACCTCAGTAAACATTGTAAACGTGAGTTTATGGTCTCAATCTCTAGTTTCAAGTCTTCTTCAATACAGCATGATGTTCATTTAGTACATTATTTTCCACTTCTTATGTACAGTCTATGCTTGGCACACAGACGAAGCCACGATAAGAGCTGGTGGAATTCTCTAAATGATAAGAAAAAGTGCTACAATGCTTCTATGGGGTCAAGTCGAAGAACCCCATATGGTTCTAGTTAGCACCTTTCAAAATAACACTAGCGTAAGCTATTAGCTTTTAACTGTCAATCATGTGAACTTATGTCAGCTGTAAAAAGTCTTCTTAATTCAAGGATGGTGAAATCAGCCCCTCTCTGTGACTCCATCTCGCCCTTTCTCCGTCTGTACCGGCCCCCCTAAGCCACGGAGACCCCGTGGGGCCCCGCCCTGGAGAAGAAGGGTGTGTCTGCAGCGACCTGGAGCTTTCACTCCTCTCCTCTTTGTGCTCTTCCTCATCTGCTGTCAACCTAAGACAATATTTCCAAAGAATGGAGCTAGATATCGGAGAAGCGCGGATTGAATGCAGGTGAAACTGTCAGTTCACGATTCTCTGGTGATTCTTCTGCTGCCGACACGACACACTTTCTTCAGGATAGAAATGTCATCGTCTCATGAGTCAGAGGAATTGGGAGCTGATCCAAATTTGCGTTGCACTAACCTAAGGGCTTGTTCTGATCCATCCACAATGCAGAGAGCCACGGCCTCACACACTGAAGGTGCTTCCCAGTGTTGATTTCATCGTGAGAGGATAAAGCCAGAGACCGCAGGATGTGAAGGGCGTGGGGTTCTGACAATAGGTGAAGATTCACAGCTCTTTAATAGCTGTTTAGTTTTGTTTAGTTTAAACTTGTATTTATTTGTTGATTCATTTGATTAGTTTTATTATGTATTTGTTTTACTGTAAAAAGCAACAGATATAAAACAGAGAAAAGCAACAACTCGCATTTGAGAAGCTGGAACCAACAAATGTGCGACTTAAACAAGAATCAATTACCACAGTTGATCAATTAATTGATTAATTAATTAATAATGGTCCCATCAGTAAATACTATACAATCACAGGACCACATCCTGTAGCTTTCCAGACTTTACATCCCAGCATCCCAGTTGGGTTTCGTCATAGAAATACTTATGGCTGCTGAGTGTGGTCCTAAGTTGCTGTTAAGCTTTACAACATCAGGAAGATGTGGCGAGAAACAAAACAACAACAAAGGAGGAGGAGAGCAGAGCGTTTTAGAGCAAAAGATAACTGAAACCTGATCAGAGTCATCTTTGACCTGGAACTCCCGACATAAAGCCCTGAGTGATTTGTCAGCGGCTTTAGTTCAGTCACACCATATGAATATGCTTCTCTTGCCCTCTTCACCGACTCTGACCTTTGATGTTCAGCAGCAGAGCCAATCACCAAAAGCACTAAAGATGTTTTCAATTTTCCCGTCTCAGATTCCCAGAGCAGGAATCTGATCCTGCATTACCGCATAACCCTCTGCTTTGACTCTGGAGTTTTGCCAGAGGAAGCTTTTCAGTGTTTTTGCCATTTAACTTCAACCTCTCTGGAATTTGATACATGTTGCTGTCGATGCTGTTGGTCAACAGCACTCTCTCATAAGTTTAGATGAAGCTAAACTTCAAATCACATTCATGAGCCAATGTGTCTAATTTCAGATTAGATTTTAGAGGAAATGGTGCATAGTTACAAAATCATTTCACGCTCATTCATGGGCTCACTTCAAAGCTTGAAACATGAGGACAAACAGCCACATGTCACCGTTGTATATGAGCAGGTTCCTCCCACACTAATATTACAAGCAGGGCTGATGTTCACTATTTTTTAAATTCAAGTATAATATTAGGAGTGTTGCATACTGAAACGTGGGCGTAACGCGGTGCTGGACAGGTAGCTTGTGGGTTTATACTGAAAACAGCTGCTGGAAACGTTCAAAAAACACCAAACGCTCAGCAGAGTCGAGAGTTAAGTGATGAATCTCTGTGGTTTCAGCGTCGCAAGTGACACCTTTCACTTCATAAATAGTAATGTGAAAATATTGATTCGTGCAGCTTTACAAAATAATCAAGAATCCCCAAAACATTTGCGGTTAGTAACATGGAATTTAAATGCACAGCTGAATTATAATTTAAAAGCAAAGCAAGTTTATTGATAAAACTTCAGAAGACAAAGTGCAAAAGAAACACCTTATAAAAGGACACATAAATATGATTAAAAACAGAATAGAAATAATGAAAACAAGCTAAAATAGAAGAAGAGAAGTGAGTTGTTTCTTCAGATATATGGGGCTAAAAACTGAACGCTGTTTCTCTACGTTTAGCTCTGACTCTGGGGACAGAAAGCAGACCTCTTAAAGACGATGAGAGTTCTGGATGTTGGGCAAAGGGGCTGAAAAGATAATCCCAGAGTGACTTGTTGGCCTCTTGCTTTGCCTCTGCTCTGCCTTGGGCCAGTTATTCCTGCATGAGAGGTGCCATAAATCTGACATGAGCTGTCTTCTCTTTGAGCGGCAGCATGCGAAGACGTTCAGCTCAGGAGACAGAAATCAAGACGGCAGATATCCTCAACAACCTGACAATGAAATACTGCAGCCATACTTCTGTTGGAATCATTGGATTGTACCACGATGGTAACAGCAGGAAGAAGTTTGGTAACCACGTAGTGCCTCCTTGTGGTCAGACGAGTGAACAACACCATTACAATATTTCTAGACATGATCAGTCTCTGACCAGTTACTGCCTTTAACACACAAATTAAACTTACTTCTGATAGATACGTGGGAATGAATGTGGCTGCTACCGTATTTTAAAGAATGCATCTTCAGCAAAGTCAAAATAAAGGAAAGAATTTGATGTCTTTGACGACTGAGGAACAACTGATCTCCTCCTCCCCCCTCCATCTACCTCACCCTGTCTCTCTATCCACTCTTCCCGTCACATTTTCTTGCTCCTCAATGGACAGCACACAAAGTAAAAGCTTTTATTTCCTACAGCCCGTGAAGGCAGCATGAGGACTGCAGTGTGTCACTCCTGCTGTAAACAGAACATGTCATCTGCTGCCCTCCTGTGGGGGAAACCCAGTACAACACACAATAATAAACACATTTACAAGATATTATAAGCTGATATTTTTATTCTGTACAAAACCAACAGATTATTCTCACAAAGAACTTGTTCACTTGCCAAACACAGGTGTAACTATTAACATTGCTCGAGCACCAAAATACAACTGTGTTATTAGTTTCACCGATAAAACGTGTGACAAAGGTTCATCAGTCGGCACGTTGCACTTCATGTAAAGCCCTTAATGTGAGGTAAGAAGCTTCCACATAAAGAGTTAATAGGGACAGACATCCTTCTAGTAAAGTTATTAGTTGTAATGTGCCGTCAGATGCAGCTGGATGTAAACATCTTTCCTCAGTGTTTTATTTTTTTTTTTTACAAAAGCACAGGTGTAATTAAAAGCATTGATATTATTATTATTATTATTATTATTATTATATCATAATTAAAAGCTGTTCCATATGTTTATTAAAATACTGTTCTTAAAGAATTTTATGCAACTGAAAGCCAAGATTGTACTCTTTACTCCATCATAAGTTATTCTACTGATTCAGATTATTAATACAAAATAAGAAACTAATAAATTATTATTACAGATTAAACTTCCTGGCATTGTCAAATAAATAATTAGACTTAGCCCCACATGCGTTATAAGAGTGATGAACACATGAAACCTCCTTACAGTCATCTCATGTTATTCTTTTATGAAGTACTACTGTGATCTGTTCTCTCAAGTACACGGTCCAGTGAGTACT